TGCGTTGCTTGTATGTTTCATGTACAACGTTGTGTAGGCCAGGTCTACCGCCTAGTCCGCGTAGTCAGTTGAATAGCAAAAGATAGCACAAGTATCCCCGCGTAGTCTCTTCCGCAGGGGAAACAACCATTCCGTGTAGTTCGCGTAGGGCCTCCATGTTAGTATAAGAAACTCTATATACAAGAAAAAGCAATGCTCAACTTTGATGACAATTTCTTGGATATCCTCGCAACCCTGAACTCAAACCCCTAAACCCTAGTTACCCTAAATCCAACCCTTCTGCCTGCTTAGCTGTAATGCGAATTCTTCTAGCCCAAGGTCCAGCCGAATCCCCAATCGTTGCCTAATCCTTATATACCCAACGAGTCCGGTTACCAACATAGCGGGTAACTGGGGGCTGGGGGCCACATTTTTCGGAACCAAAAGATTGGCGACAACTTTTTTGGGAACCAGAAGAAAATCGGAACCGTATTTCAGCATTGAACACATACAAATCACTACAACATGTGGTCAGCATGCGTGTTCTATCTGCATGGTGCGCATGTGGTGATAGTGACATGCGGCGGCGGTTTTGGTGGTGCATGGTGCGCTAAAGCATGGACACATTGCACGAACGCGCGCAGTCAGGCTACACCCAACATGCTGGCGTATACTATGCATAATGACATAATCCACGCCTCGAACTCACGCGGAAAGGAATCAGAAACAATGTCGAATTCACTCTTATGGAGGAAGCGTGGGTCTGTGTATGTATTCGTATTGTTACATCATCCTGCTACATACTATGGGGTCCTCCAAAATATTAGAATTTGGGCTATTATAACCCTAATCACAACCGGAAAAAATATTTTCTTGGGGGGGTTCTGAGGCCGCTTTAGCATACCAGTGTTGAACCTCACAATTGTCCCAATCGAATCCTTCAGTGGCTCATCTGGTCTTGTATACAAATACACAGCAAGTATGCACCAGTGATCATCTCTTTGCACACCTTTGGCTAGCCGGAAGAGTGTGCTGATCCCAGTGTCTACAGCTCATACTTAGTCAGAGTCGGGAAGGCAGATAGCAAGCTAGCTAGTACGGCCGAACCGTAACCTTTCAGGCTTAATATGAGATAGCCAGAAAAGCAATTTGAATGGTAAACGGTAAGCCGCAATTGAAAATTGCCAAATGGAAATCCGACCTTCGAGCTTAACAATTTCGGTGTGAGACAGCGTGGAAATCATTCTTGGAACTCAGTAGATATGAGACAAACTCAGCTGCTGATTTTAAATTCGAACGGAAAACAGTCTTCCCGAAGCCTGGGCATCATCTTCAGTACGGGGATTCCGAAACCGGTTCAACAGATCTGGCAGCATTGCCAGGAGGGAGGCGTCCGGGGTGTTCATTGTGTACTGTTGCTGTCGGGAGTGCTAAGCTCCGGAATTCGGCGTTCAGGATTGGGGATTTGGGGCTTAACGGTTCCAAGCAGTATTTAACGGTTCCAGGCCCCAATTTAACGGTTCCAGGCCCCAATTTAACGGTTCCAAGCCCCAATTTAACGGTTCCAAACCCTCCCTGGCTTCGATAGATTTTTTCGTGCCCGTTTTTATTGGTCTGGTATTTTTTGGAAGAATCGTTTCTGTTTGAGTGTGGACGAGGTTCTCCTGAATCAGAATCGCTCCCCACTGCGTCTGAATTATTGTGGACACTTTGCACCAGTCGTCGAAACTCCTTTTTATCGGATGCATCACGACGCTGATGTCGATGCAAGTTTACATGCCTTCAACTTTTACACGTCAAGACCGTTTCACCCTGCAAGGACTATCTAAGCGGCTAGATGTCACGATCTAATAAAGAAGTTTGATCACATACCAGTACGAGCAAATCAAGATTTAATTTCAGATTTTTTAACGTAATCGACGCCGCACAGCGTGCTTTTATTGAATCTAAGTATTGTCGTGCACAGCTTAGCATCTCAAATGAGTTAGCGTGCAGCCACATGGTCCCCTTTGAGCCCAGATCGTACAACCACAAAGCACCAAGTCTTCAACCGTTTAAACCAAACATGCGAGGGGAAGCGGGGAGCATTACGTATTGTGACTAACATAGCCATATCTGTGTAACTTGAGGGAGGGTACTATATCTATATACGGCTGCACGGGATTCTACATCTATATGCAGGAGCATATTAAGGTTTGTGTAAAAATCATTTTTACAACGTCTGTATAAGCCTTGTGGGGAAGATGCAGTCCCGATTTTGAGAAGAATACCGTCCAGAAGTTTTCATTGACAAGTAACATGTGTTTCCAAAACTGTGAAAGTGATCCTAGGAGGGGTCTGACGCTCTTACTTGTAAAGTCCGAGGTTTGCACCCCCTGCAAGCCTCATAGACTACACCCATACGTGTCAAACCACGAGCTGTCGGAGAAAAGGGTGGCAAATTTTGTGCATGCATGACGCACATGCACGCCACCCCATAGCCAAGGTTTATTTCCAACTATTCTGTTTAACAAAGCATGGATTCGAGGATATCCTTTGTCTTGGGCTTCACAATATCATATGCCAAACACGGTTCGGAACCAGTTCCTGGAACCAACTTTGGCCTCTAGCCATTACACTCCCAGGGCTGAACTGAGCCAGTTACCTAATATGTTGGTAAACGGACGCATTGGGATACCTCTAAAACCCTGAAACTCCGTGTTCAGGTCATGTGCCATCAGATTGAGCAGCTGAAGGAGGAGATCAAGGAGAAGGCTCCGCGCCCAAACACCAACACAGAGGGATCTGGCTACTGGTCGGAAGTATTTCCTCTCCTTCTACTGCCTATGCCATGGGCTGCCATTGCTGCCGGTGCTGCGCTGCTGCTGCTGCTGCTGCTGCCGCCGCCGCCGCCGCGGCTGCTGCTGCTGCTGAACTATACAGTAGTACCAAATGCGATTGATACTCTCCCTGGTACTTCGCCTACTGCTACTGATTATTTCTCCTACTCTTGGTGGCCGCCCTCACCCCGTACCAACTGCATTTGCTGGAACGGGACGAACACCAAGTAGCTGCGCCTCCAAGTGTACTTGGTAGAAGCGCACGCCTATTATAGTTGCTGCTATTTCTTATACAGGTGCCTGTTCTATTCCTTGTGCCAGCGCCGTCGCCCACCACCAGCACCGCTGGGGCCACCACCGCTACCACTTGCTACCACTTGCCACCTCTGCCACCACTGCCACGGACACTGCCTCCATGTGGGGCTTTGCGTTTGACATGTTCTCATGTCAGGTCCTAAAGGTTTTGCGTGCTGCGCACTTTTTGATAAGGAGGCGCTGAAATCTCAAAGCCTGACTCAAAAGTGTAGATACCTTGGAGAAAGTTTCCGTGTAAGGCTGTGCAAATTTTCCTACATCCTCCCTGATGTCGGCTCCCTAAGATTGTTGGGATGCAGCCTGATTTAACCACCTTCCACCCCTCCCCCTCCCCACAGGACCTTGTAAGGTTTGACCGCGCTAGCCCTCCGCCCCGGACCTGCCAGGATCAGGCCATGATCCACGAGCACTTCAAGCATCAGAACATCAGCAAGGAGGGTGATGATGTGAATGCAAAGATTCTGCTAGGAATCTCTCCGCTCTGCACCGGAGAGCTGTCCAAAATCCTTCGCCCTTTCAGGTTTCCATAACGGGGGGCCTACAAAGGCACCACAGCTTTTGAGAACCTCCCATATTTTCAGGATGTTCAGGTTTGAGCTGAGGAGATATAGACCTGAGGGCTTCTGTTCTTGAGGGTAGGGCTGCGCGTTTGAGGGCTTGCATGTAGTTCTCAAGTGAGTAGCATTGTATTTGGGGACACTGTAGTCCCCAATAATGTAGAGTGAGATGATATTTTGCAATCCTTCAGCCATAAGCCCCTAAACCCTAAACCCCTAAACCCTAAACCCTAAAGCCCTAAAGCCCTAAAGCCCTAAACCCAAATCCCCGGAGGAGACTGAGAAGACCAAGCACACTCTGGAGTACCACGAGAAGCAGCAGACCAAGTCTCAGCAGGTGGGGTCAAACTGGCAACTGGACTCCTCATGCCCAGTTTGGGGTTTAGGGGTTTAGGGGTTTAGGGGTCAAGGGGCTTAGGGTTTGACTTACGTAGCTAGATGGGGACAACCCAAATTACTGCAACCAGGTAATATCAGATAGTTTCTCTCACCACTACCTATCTGTATATATATATATTTGGATACCATTAGCTTTTCTGTAGTATGCCTATAGATGTTTGGGTATCGGAACAATTATCCTGGGTTTTTACGTTCAAGAAGCTACTGTGAAGGTGGTGGAGCAACAGCAGTCCGACATCAAGAAGCTCGAGGCGGACCGTGCTGAGACCGTCCGAGCTTTTCTAGAACCCATATTCACTGGGCAATTTAAAGCGACCTCACCCGACCTCACCCTAAAATTGTTTTTGTTTAATGCGGCACAGTACCAAAATGACCTTAAATTGGGAATTGAACTTACTATTCTAAATTACCCTGTATAAAGGATCGCAAAGACTTAGCATGTTGCCTAGGACCTTGGATAGACTTTCACTGACGTGAGGGTTGTAGCTCTACTTTGCAAGTCGTCTTCACCTTCCCGAAGCCCTGCTGAGAAAAACTGCAACAAAAGGCCGGCAAGCCACTTAAATTCAAAACTATAGGTTACTTAGTTTTCTACACCCTAAACTCTAAACCTTACACCCTGAAGCCTCTCATTCGTTTTTAAGCAAAGGTCTGATAGCCAATGTCCCCCTCAGGAAGCTTCATTGTCAAGTCCCTGAAACCCCCTGTCAGGTTGAATCAGGCAGAAGTAGATGTACAAGAACAGGAATCGCATCCCCGTTCTACCCCTACCAGTATAGAATTAGGGGACCCAATACAGACATGTACAATCCTCATTATAGGTAGCCCCAAAAAGGTACCCCTAATTTTGGGGAATCCCTGAGGGTTCACCTTTCCCAGGTTCCCATGCCATCCCCTATTGCCCCTCCCAAGCTTTTAAGGGGCCAGAGAAGAGTACTTTGTGTATTTCGGAAGATGATCTGTATGTAATGCGCGCAGGGTACCCGCGCAATCTCCTGGCACATCTTTCTTTTGGAAGCTCTCTAATTTGGAATCCTGCCCCAAAACCCAAAACCTTAGGCCCTAAACCCTGCATGAACCCTATGTAATCCCCATATATCCTTATAGAAACCTACATATGCCATGTAAACCCCAAAGCCCTAAGCGCTAAACCCTAAGCCCTAAACCCCAAACCCTAAGCCCTAAACTCAAAGGCCCTAAACCGTAAACCCCAAACCCTAAGCCCTGAACCCTAATCCCCAAACCCTAAGCCCTAAACCCTAACCCCCATCCCTAAACCCCAAACCCCAAACCCTAAACCCTGTGGCTGTTTCGAAGGCCACCATCCAGGAGGCCGAAATGGAGCGGCAGCATCAACGGAAGGAGTTTGAGGCCCCGGGGTGCTGCGTTGAGGGTTTAGGGTTTGGGGTTTAGGGTTCAAGGTGTGGGATTTAGAGTTTCGGGTCTGGGGTGTAAGGTTTGGGGTTTAGGGCGTCTACCTGCGCAGGGCTGTGTATCCATCCGCCGATGGCGCCACCCTACTTGCAGGGATCTGTGGGTGAAGGCAGATCCTGCTCCCAGCGAACTTCGTTGATGTTGCCTAAGAGGCCATCGAAACTGGGCTTTC